TTAAAGTTTTTTTAGCTGTTATAGGTTCTCTATTTCTCAAGATTGTTACTTCACTAAACAGAAGTTTTGACTACTTTATAGTACGCCCTGCTGAGATTATACAGAAGAGTTAAAACTAAATTCCTCATAGAACATCCTCATTCTTCATCTGAAATAGAGATTATCTCTCTTAATGAAAAACTCACCCAAGATGACCATAGTTGCAAGGGATGTTGAATACAAAAGGTAGAGAGAGGATGGGGGACTACAGAATAGGAAATAATGATCAATCGTGAGGGATAAAAAAAAAAGTGCAAATCTGAGACAGAAAACTGTCATTTCACTTACAAATATTTATTAAGGCTGTAGTAAAAGTAACCATTCTAAAATTTTGAAGGACATTTTCCTTTGGGGAGCAAAGGCAACTTAATATGAGAAGAGGATTCCTCTCACCTGTTTTTAACTCCACTTATTTTTGTCACTCTGAAGCACACACTATATGACTACATATATGACTATATGTCCCTGCCCACGGCAGGGGGGTTGAAACTAGATGATTTTTAAGGTCCCTTCCAACCCAAACCATTCTATGATTCTATGACTCAAAACATTCAAAGTTTAAGGTTCGAACTGACCCTGATAGATTTAATAACGTTAAAATTTTACCCATAAGCAAGCTTATTAGGCCTTCCTGTAATGTTTCCACAAAAGCTTAGCTTGAACATGGTATCTTGTTTTCAGTCTAACCAAAGCTCTCTCTCTCAAGGGTTTAAGTAAAGAAAATAAAATGGTTAACACCTATTTTAGGCCCCATGTTTGATGTCGAAACTACATACTGGAAGGTCGTCTTAAAAATGTCTTATTCCAGTATACTTCACCACCATAACTCTCAGCCCCACAGAGATAGTTATAACCATCGCTAGCCTAAGGCTGAAAGATTTTTGGACCACTTTCCAGTTCTTCTGCTGTAAGCACCAGAGTTTTCTCTGTGGGGAGGCAGTTTAATTTGGAAGTAAAAACTAAGAATTTCTTTTCATATATTTGTTCTCTGAGCACAATATAGGAAATAAGCCTGCAGTGACATGTGTCTTCCCAAATGGATATTCACTATTGAGAAGATCACAGAAAGGCATCAGGAAATGTTTATTCATTCCAGCTGCACTTGACATGTTTGGTACACAGGAAAAAAGGTGTATTTGCTTTACAACCTGACATACCACATTAACTGCGCTAAATAAAAGCAATGAGTCATGTTTTCTATTCACCATTTTCCACCTGTATTTTACATGCTGCTTCAATGAAAAATTACAGCAACAAATATGCATACTTTTACTGTAATGAGTCAGATCAGGTTCCAAGGTCAAGTTGTATCTCTTTTTTCAAAAATGAAGGCAACTGCATGGGCTATTGCAGTCTTTTAAAAGACTTGTTATTGAGACAGAATTGCCACTTCTTAAGACCTTAAAAGTAACACTTCCTTTGCCAGTTTTCTTTAAACAACACCCTCAGAATTGTCCATGAAGTGATAAAGTCCTGCTGTTAACCAGCATGTTATTTTGGCTGCAGATTTTTCAAAGGATTTGTATTATCTAAACTATAAAGTAGCAAATGAAAAGGAGATGGGGGGGGGGGGAGTAACTTCAACTTCTAACAGGTTTAGCAAGCTTTTTTTTCTTTTAAATACAGTCACTGGTTCTTCAGTATTTCTTATTCAGCTTTTAAACAATACAGTAAAACGGACACTCTCCTGAATAACAAACACATAGGAAACCTGCTAACTTAACTGAAGAACACACTACTAATTCATTTTGGGTATCCTGACATCAGTCATGTTTTGCTGAGCTTTTATCTAAAAATGCCAGATATCTATCACATACAACAATAAGCTGAATTTTAATGACAACACACAATCTTGCTGCCTGTCCTCTCAATCTAACACCACCCCCCCCCAAAAAAACCAAACCAAAACAACTCCAAAGGGAAAAGTACCTACTATTTGGGACTGTTACCTACTACTTACAGATATATTTCTTCTCCTAGCAGTGATACTATATGCAACCAAATTAAGGAATTTTGGTAAAACACAGCAGCAGCACAATTAACTCCAGAAATATGTATTTTTAAGATTATCTGTCTACAAGCTTTCAAACAACGCAACTATGAAAGCACGTTACACAATCCGATCTGGCCATTTCAGTGCCAAACAAACAACAGTCCCTCGATAAAAGGAAAAAAACCCACAACACTATCTACCCAAGAAGGTACTTTTTGAAGTGGATAGGTAAATTTTATTTTTCTTCTGGAACATCTCTCCTTCCAGTAAAATAGATGCAAGTATTTTAGGCCAGTCTGACAAACCTACCGGGGAGTTTTAGAATACAGTTTATACTTATTTTAAAATATTTTTTCTTAAAAGTGATGAAACAAGGCAGTAACTATAAACAAGATGAAATATTTTACAGCAGCATAATACCAAACCGCTGTTTTTCAGCTACAAAACACTACTTTTCTCCCAATACAGGCTTCAAACACCTCAGATTTAACCATCTACTTGAAGATAACTGGAAAACCAAAAAGCGTTAATCTAATTTCGTAAGTGTACGCTAGCTAAGCGCCCTTAGGCATCAGTATAATGACTGTACTTTCCTTTTTCAGCCCCTCCCTGGGAACACTGACTACTACTCTGTAAGTGACTGGCAGCATCACAACTATTACTGAATTCTATAAAACTTTAAAGAATAAAGCAAAGCTTCATTTTCCCAAGACGTGTGATTAGAACAAAAAGTTTACAAAATTATATGTTTATAAAGAAAACACCTTCTTTCCAGAAGCTTTTTTAGTTTGGGGGGCAGGGGAGGTTCAAGACAGGAAGGAAGAGAGGGAGCCTCAAGCAGATGGAGAGAAATCATCCTATGTCCATAGCTACGTTCAGGACAAATCTAACATCACAAACCCAAGGGAGAAAACATGCAGAAGAGTGCTGCCCAACTTTCTGCTAACTGGCTAGTCGGGATACTATATTTCATAAAAGTATATTTTGCTCACAATTTATGTTCTGAAGCAGGTTTAGAGGGCAAGTCTTTAAACTGAAAATCCTAAAGACAGATATGATTTTCCTTTAAGAATTTAATGCAATTTGAACTACTACAAAACTCTGCATAACTGAAGAAATTCCTCTGATAGTTTATGGCCTCAAATTTCCGAACATCTGAGCTGCTGATGCCATGCAAAATTTCTCTGTGTTATAAGTAAAAAGCTGTAAAACTGCACTGACAAAACTGTAATATTTCAATATATAGAGTTAAAAATTTAATATTGAAGTCCAAGCTCAGCAAAGAATGTAAACTTGGACATTTTGCTGATTTAAGCTGGAATTACTCCCTGCATAAAGTATGTATGTTTAACTGTTTGCTGGATCAGGAGTCAAACTTTCTGAAGTCTGCCACCTATGTGCGATATTTACCAAGTGCTTTTACAAGGTCTCAAGTGTGATTTTATAAAAATGATCTCTGAGGAAAATATACTGTCTAAACAGTGTGTAAATAGCAGAAACTAAATACTGATTTCAAACATAATATTCCGGTTATAAATCCCTCAAATCAAACTAGTGTACTAAGACAGGACACAACTTCACAGAGAAAAAGAAAGCTCAAACCAAACAGCACAAACACCCCTGCTGTTGTTAAAACTAACAGGCAAAGCTGCTGCAACAAACATGCTAAAAAAAAACCCCCAAACCCTCACCTTGTTACTCTCCTGCCCAAGCTTACTTGCATTTAATAACATTTCTGCCAGTTTTATTGTTCACGTACATGTGCCACTCAGGGGGAGGACAAAAAAAATTATCTTGAAATACTACAGACATGACTGTAAAAACCATGAAAATCAAACAGGAAAAAAAATAATTAGTATGCAGGAATATTTTTAAGTTTGGTGTATTTCATTCAGATTCTAGATATCTGCTGGAAATGATCAGAGATTTTCTCTACCATCACATGATGCAGCTTCAAAAACCTGAAGACTTTAAGACTAGTGGAAGTAAAATTAATATGCTAGGTCATGTTAAGGTACTATCTCTCCCTTATTTTTCAGGTCCCTGCCAAATACTTTAATAACAAGTTTATATTCTCTGCCTCGTAACTATTTCTGTAATTCTTAAAAGAAATAATATACAGAAATTTATTTTGATGCTTAAAGGTGTGGAAGGTTGCAATTAACTTTCGTTTCATTTTTCTAATCTAACGAACTGAGTCTTTTCAGATTTTAGCTCCAGTACAAAGATAAAAGCTTCACTATCTATTTTAATGTCAGCAATGCCAGCATCTACAACTTTCATTCACTTGTGAGCGTTCACATACAGCACTATGCAGGAGAAGGTCTCTGAGGCAACTTCTGATCATTAGAGAAAGCCAGGCAAAACGTCATTCAAACACCGTCCAAAGGTGATGGGAAGGAACCAAGAAGCCAGACGCAAACTCTCTCCGGTAACTCAGGATATTCTGCCACGGGCACAGAGTTCCTCTTCGCAAAATCCCCCCCGTAGGAGGAGCCACCACTCGCTCCCAGGTTTTAGTGCTCAATTCCCTGCACTCCTGAACCCAACTCACCTACGTTTTCCTCAATAAGCCCTCAAAAAGCACACCTGCCCCCCCTAACGCTCACTCCTAAATTACCCAGAAAAGGGGTGGCGAGTCAGTGGGGTCCTTCCCCGGGGCAGTAAGCGAGAACCGACCTGTACGACGCGCGTTCGTACGAGCAGAGGAGACGAGCCCATCCGCACGCAGAACTACTCCTGCCGGCTCCCTACCTGGAAAGCAGCGGGGGCGGAGGAGGACACGGCTAAAGGGCAGAGGGTGAGGGTGAAGGGGACGAGCCAGCACAGGCGGCGACAGGGCAGCGCGGGGCAGGCAAAGCGGTGTCAGAAGAGGCAGCGCAGCCCCGGGCGGCCGGGGGCACCGGCACCTGCAGCCGGAGGGCTGGGGTGTGCAGGAGGGGGGGGGGGGGAGACGGCAGACGGGTACCTTTGAGCTGGGGCAGCGGCGAGAGCTCCACCTGGCTGCTCTGGCTGCGGAACTGCGAGGAGCCCTGCGAGCGCTTCTGCCTCTGAGCCTTGCGCACCGATTTCCGTGTGAAGCCATCCACTTTCTCCGCGGCAGAGATGGCCGCCGACATGGCTGGGCGATGAGGCGGCGCGGGGGGACGTCGCTCTCCAGAAGCATATATTAAAGCGGAGGGAGAAGCGGGCGGGCAAAAAAAGGGCTTAAAAAAAAACCAAAAAAACAACAAACCAAAACCAAGTCCTCCCTGCCCTCACGCACGCACACACCCCGACGGGGAAAGGGGAGGAGAGGGCTGGCGTCCTAGCGGCGAGCGGGGCGGCGGCGGTGCCGGCGCGGTCTGCTGGCTGCCGGGCGCTGGGGAGGCTCCTGGCTCCTGGGTCCGGGCTGCCGCCTCGCTCCTCTGGTTCCTGCCTCCCTCGCCGCTTCCTCTCCGCGCGGAGCCGGCTGCCGGGGAGGCGGGGGAGAGCGG